TGTGCACGCGTGAGCCGTGTATGTGGTGTGGTGTTTTGCAGGTGCCTTATGCCTTATATATGTCCTTGTGCGTTTCCAGATTTGGCCCATGTGCATCTTCGCATGTGATTGGTTTTGAGGAACGCGAAACCGGCAACTGGCAACTGCAAGCTGGCAATTTGCACAAAACGTCGAGGCCTTCGTGTTATTTATGTGTGTGTGTGTGTGTGTGTGTGTGTGTGTGTGTGTGTGTGTGTGTGTGTGTGTGTGTGTGTGTGTGTGTGTGTGTGTGTGTGTGTGTGTGGGTGGTTGGTGTGTGTGTGTGTGTGTGGGTGGTTGGTGTGTGTGTGTGTGTGTGTGTGTGTGTGTGTGTGTGTGTGTGTGTGTGTGTGTGTGTGTGTGTGTGTGTGTGTGTGTGTGTGTGTGCGTGTGTGTTTGTGTGTGCGTAACCAACTTTCCAGCAGCCGACGTCCGAGCCGTTGCCTGTTGCCTGGAAGAGGCAGGCGGCAGTCTCGGCATTTCGTTTCGCCCTGCCTCCGCCGGCTCGCAGCTCTGCTCGAGCCTTAGCAGTGGGCGGTTGCTGCAATCTTCGTGACAAGTCAGAGACCCTGCTCCGAGTGAAATCAGCTCCACGTCGAAGGCGAGTTTGTCCACTCTTGGCTGGCGCGACCTGGAGGCAGCTTGGGGAGAGGTGCGTAGGGATACGTGAAGTACTAGGCACTGCTCTCGGGATGCTCCAAGGTTGATGAAAATCTGTGCACTGTTGTTTGCCGGGCGCTGCATGCGCCAGTTGCACGAAGCTGTCAGGACGTCGCCTGCGCAGAGATTTGTTTTGCGCATGGCACATACATCCCCGAATTAAAGTTTTGCACAAAGGCGAGCCTCTCTGGTCCTGGCTCGCGGCCCGGCAGACAATTTCGGCAAGGCTCCGACTGCAGCTCCACTGCGTCCTTTGGAGGTAGAGCCGGCCGCAGTGCAGTCGGCCTTTGCGGAGTACTGCACGAAGGACTGTAGGGACCACGAATGTTCGATCCATATCATATTCGGCTTGGCAGCCGCGTGAGATGGGGCTGCCATGAATGCATGTTGTTCAGCTTTGTCAGAAGGCCATCAGCACGCAGCTATGACATGGCAGTACGTGCACAACGAAGGCTCCAGTGTCTGTCTGTCTGTCTGTCCGGGGTGGGGGGGGGGTGGGCCCGAGGCGGTGTTGCTCAGTGGAACAAACACGACGTCGACGTTTGCTCCCAGTCTACCACTAGTAGGTCAGGGGCCTGACATTCTCAGCCTCGTCGAGTGAAATTGCGATTATCCATAATCAGTCTATTTGTAGTGGGTCGCGCCTCCCTGGTGCCCATTTTCTCGTCCTCGTTGTGGTTGGGTTTAGGGTTTAGGCTTTTAGGGTTTAGGGTTTATTAACTCACTCATTCTCTCACAGGCCTCTGCTGCCCAACCCTAGAGAATCGAGTGCACAGAGAATCGAGTACACTAGGAGTTTAGGGCCTACAGCCGAAAGGGGGTGCAGTGCTTCGTATCACACTTCTTTCAGGTGCAAGTTGCATGGCTTCATATACGAACATACGAGTTTCTGGTCAGAGATTGAGGCAAGGAAAGGCATGTGACAAGTCGAATGGCTGCCAAGTGCATGTCGAAAATCTTCAGTTGACGCCGAGGTTTATGTGCTAAGGATGTGTGCGGGCACCCCCTTACTGCTTGCAGATGGCAATTGGCGTGGCCCCTGAGTTTTCGAATGTTTTCGACAAACTTGACAGGCACTCAGCACCTCAGTCAAGGACCCCTGGGCTTTTTCCGTGCTGGTGCCATGTACCATGACTCTCCAGGGACCTCACCAAACCCTTAATAAACCGGTAGGGCGAGCACTGGGGAGGAAACGCTTGAGAAGTGATTGAAATTGACCAATACGAAGGAAGGGGACATGCAACATCTTTTTGGGCCCCTACTAAATCCTGCGAACACGCAGGGAGGAGACACATGACAAGTCTCTGGCGCCGTCATCTGCCCTTTCTGAGTACAAACACGGAAGGAGGGGGGATATGTGACAAACCTCGAGGGCCTGCCCTCGCCGAGCCCCTTCGTGCGCGAGGGGACATACGTCAATCCTCTAGGATCCTCATTAGTCCCGATGAGCACGAAGGGAGGGAGCATGTCAACTTCTAGGGCCCTCACCAATCCCTATGGTCACCCGCTGACCCTTTTTTCGAGCACGACAGGACGGGAGATAATACAAATCTCTAGGGTCTCTTCAAAGCCCTATGAGCACGCAGGGATGGACCAGAAGAAAGACAAAATAAATATAGATAAATAGAAACATATACACATATTATATATATATATATATGTATATATACTTATATCTCAAAAGCTCCAGGACCCTCGCCAAACCCTGCGAGCACGAAGGGAGGGGACATGCGAAAAAAGCCTCGATGGCCCTCCTCAAACCCCAAATCCTACGAACACAAGGGAGGGGACGTATGACAAATCTTTAGGGTTCAAGACAATTCCTAAGAATACGAAGCGAGAATTCTCCAGAATCAGAATTCAAACCTTACATGAACGAAGGAAGGGGGGGTATACGATAACTCGCCAGGGCCCTCACAGAACCCTTTCAACACGAAAGCCCCTAAAACCCCACCAAACCGTGCGAACACGAAGAGAGGGGACATACGACAAACCACTTGGGCAATCACTAGCCCTTCTTAGTACAAACACGGAAGCAGATTTTATATATGACAGTCGTCTAGACCCTCCCAAACCCTACAAGCACAAAGCGAGGGGACATACGACAAACCTCTAGAGCCCTGGCCAAACTCTTTCGTGCGCGAGGGGGCATATGTCAATCCTCTAGGATCCTCATCAAGGCCGATGAGCGCGACGGGAGGGAACATGTCAAAAAACTTCTAGTGCCCTCATGAATCCTTACGAGCTTTCTTTAGCTCTTTTTCTACGAACGCACGCGAAAGGATGGGACATACGACAAGCCTCTAGGACCTCATCAGTGCCCCATGAGCACGAAGGGACCCCAAACCCCACGAACACATGGGGAGGGGACATACGACAAACCTTCACGGCTCTCATGAAATCCTACGAACACGAAGAAAGGCGACATACGAGAACTTTCTAGAATTCCCTCGAAAGCTGCGTGAACGAAGGGAGAGGGAACATATGACAAACCCCCAGGGCCTCACCACGCCCTTTGAACACGAAGGGAAAGGGCTACGACAATCCTCTAGGGCTCTCACAATCGCCCTGTTTGCCCGCCCCAAAAACTACTTTACTAAATGTCTTGGCGGGTGACAGCAACATGTGTCGCCCGGTTTGCCCGCCCCTAGAACTACTTTACTAAATGTGTCGCCCGGTCTGCCCGCCCCAAGAACTACTTTACCAAATGTGGCTCCCAGTTTGCCTGCCCCAAGAGCTACATTACAAACTGTGTCGCCCCAGTGGAATGAGCGCTTCACAAGACCCATCCGTGCCATGAATCAGCCTTCCACCGTTGGTGTCGCTGAACACGATGTGTGCTCAGACTGTCGTGCTACTGGTTGTAGTTGTAGTAGCCGCAGCAGTTGTGGTCGTAGCCACCGTGGCAGCGGAAGTAACTGTGTCGCAGAGCTCAAGTCGCTCGACAACGTCGATGTCGCTGGTGTTGTAGTCCTGCCTCTCACAAACATTCAGCTTTGCTTCTTGTTCTTCACTGGGCGAGCCGATGATGGAGACAAAACACGTCAGCTTGAGGATGGTGGACAACCCCCTGCGAGCTTCAGTGTTTGCCTGGACACCGAGGAGCGTGGAGTTGTAGGACTGTGCCGATGCCTGCCAGCACCTTGCAGCCCGCATGAAGGGCTGTTTCGGGGTGCTTTGCGTCATTCCGGTAGGTCTTGCGTCGCAAAAGCGGTGCTGCGTTGGGAGTCATGGCTCAGCGTCGGCCTTGTTGTCGCAGGGTCCTAGGTGATCGGTTACGTGCAGGAAGCTCCCGCTGAGGATGTGGGGAGACCTTGGTCCTCTGGCGAGATCTGTGCACTGCATGGCCAGCTGCGTTGCAGAAGTGGCTGCTCTTTAGAATCACAGCACGAAGCTGCGAACCTCTGGAGTTCGGGGTTTCTTGTGCGCCCACTTCTGCCATTTGCCATGATGTCGTCAAGGTTCACAAGGATGGTCAACAGTCGAGAAACTCCGTGCAGGCATGAGCATATGAGCCTTGTGCCTCTCCCTGCAAGTTCGCTTTGCAAGACCCACTGAAAATGAGAAGGACTCCTCAAGCTGTGCGTCTGCACTGCACCTCTGGGAATTTTGTTGTCTCCTTGCTTTATTGCAAACGCGCTGTACAAAATCCGCCCTTGCAGAATCTTGACGTTCAACGCTGGGCAGCCCGCCTAAGTTTCATTGAGTCTATCGCCTCTGGAGAGAGAGAGGCTCATGGATGGAGTTCTTCCCATCGCTTGCGTGCAGCCTTCCGATTTACGGCTCAAGCTTCTTCTTGCGATTCTCGTGCTTCTGCATCAGCAATGTTCAAGGCCGACTGGGTGGTTGCACCTCATTCGGACCTCTCTTGATGCTTGCTTGGGGACTTTTCAGGTCACGGACATGACAGATGGCTGCTTGCGGGCCCTGGCGGGTTCGTTCAGTCTGCAGGAGGCCGTCCCCAAGCCCCAGCAACGCCGCTGTAGGCAGATTCTGTAATATTCTACGGAGGGTCCCTGGACATTTGCCAGGATTTCAGGATATTATGCGAAGCCCAGGTCCAAAAGTTTTGGGAATCTGAAGCTAGCCCAAAGGGCCGGCCCAGAAACTTCGCATTTTTCCGTGCAACCCCAAACAATATGGGTCGCAGAATAAAGCTTCGCATATCGACAGGCCTCCATGCTAAGATCAGGTTTGCAATGAGTGTTCTGGAAATTATCGATGTCCATTAACAACGTTCACGGGTTGCATTGAGGGAAACTGCAGTTGGTCCAATGCGGAGTCTAGGGTTAAGGGCCGTCGTGGTGCTCCTGCAGGCGGACATGCGAGAAAGGTTGGCTGCAGACGATGTCCTCCTCGGGCTGGTCACCGAGGCAGGCGCTATGTCCCTCTTGGGCATGGCAGTTTGAATATTCTTCCTTGTCTGCCATGTGCGAGTGCGAGAGCCGAATACCGTTCAAAGGCGGGAGAACCTGTTGGTGGCGCCGTCGTTTCCGGAAACGAAATCCGGTACTTCGGCGTCACGCAAGCCTACAGGTCGGCGGGTGCGGCCAGGTTTCTGAACGAGGCGGTTGAGAAACTGCTCCTGGGGCTTGGCTTCGAGGATTCCTGGCTCGTTGCTAGGGTGCATTAATTCTTAATATAGTACCATGATCGTGTAAGCGTGTAAGAACATAACATCATGTAATATGGTGTAATAATACACTGTAATAATATAGCATGCAGCATGATATAATTGAAAAATTACACGTTCGCATGGCCGCATGTTGGAAACTCTGCGGAAGCTTCGCGGAAGAGGGTCTGTCCCCACGGAAGCAGAAGCAGCAACAACAAACGAAAAGGAATTGCAACTGCTCGTTACTCTCGTTTTTTGGCGCATTGTTGCGATAGTTCTGATCTTACAAAATTCTTATATCAAAGTTTATAGTGTTACAACATTTATGGTGTTTTTTTTTCCTCTCGCTCTTTTACTCCTGCCCACTTTGTGTCCGGTCAGTGAAGGGGTCCTACGGAGCCTACGAGGCCCTACGACTACGACAGGTGTCGCAGCGGCAGGCGGCTCGGCCCCTCGGCCTCTGCGAGGTCGAGAACGCGGTCGAGCGGCGGACCCGCAATGCTGTTGGCTTGCGGCGGTTGGGGCCATGGCTGCCCAAGGGCAGTGCTTGCGACTGCCTGCTGCACTGCGACAGACAGCATGCCCCACCAGCGACGCGTCCAGCCGGAAGACGCGGCGGCGCGCAGGGCTGGCGGCGCTCTGTAGGACCGCAGTCGGACCAGGTCTCGCACCAGTTGCTGCGCGTCGCTGTTGAAGCGCCCTCCGACCTCGCTGCCAAGCACCAGGAGCTTCTGCGGCCCTTGGCGCCGGAGCTCCGGGTAGGTGGCCGCCTTGCGTCGCTCCGCTGCCCGTAGGGCGGCGCCGTCGACGTCGGCCGTGCATGGCTGTGGTTGCCCCGTGCGTGTAAGTGGCGATACCAGCGTCGCATCGCAGCATAGCGCGGATCCGTTAGGCGTCGCCCCGTAGATGACCACGTCTAGGCGGCGTCTGTCCTCCGCGCGCACTCCAGGCGCCGTGGTGTGTACGAGCCATTGTTGTGGCACCACCTGCCCTTCGGCACCGACGGCTTCGCGCGCAACGCGGACCCACGCTCGCTCGACGACCTTGGCGCGTCGGGCGAGCAGGCCGGTTCGCGGGCAAGCGAGCGCGTGGTCGCCGAGGCGGTCGACTTGCGCCCCACAGCCGGGTGCCGGGCCGCACCTGCCGTGGCAGAGGGGGAGTGGCATGCGCAGGCGGCGGCGGAGCGCGAGTTGCATGGCCTGGGGCGCAAGCGTCGTGGCTGGCTCGGCTGGTATGGCAGTGAGCCAGGACCCTGCATGAGGCCCCGATTGGGACCGCACCAGCGCCCGGGCATCCGGCAGCATAGCCGGCAGCATCATACTGTCGCGGAAATGTTGGTTGCGAGTGCGCGACGCATGAAACTGCCAGCCATGTGGCCAGTCTCCCGGGCCGGTGTGTTCCGGCGGGGCCGGGCGGGCTCCTTGGAGGATCTCTCGCCAGCCTGGGCAGGCTTCCCAGCCTTCGGCTCGTAAAAGCTCACGGGCCTCGGCAGCAGCACGCAGGCTGGGGGCATTGTCACCGCCATGCTCCAGTGCATCCAGGCAGCCGGGCGTGGATCACCGGCAAAGCATCTGCAACGCCGGCCCAGTATGCGGTGTCATTAAGATAGTGCTCTAATATTAGAACAGTGTGCTGACACAATACTGTTTTAACATATATACTTATATACATCACATAATTTAATTTTGTAACTTCGTCATATAACAACATAACGTTATAGACAACTCTCTAACGACATTTGCGTCGGCCAACATCTGCTTGCGGCAGCTGATGGCCTTTGCAATCTCGCGTTCTCTGCACTACGACAACTCTCTAACGACAATGCGTCGTCTCGAAGTTACCGCTCATTCATTTACTCGGTGGTTGGCTGTTCGCATGTATTCAGCAACTTTCAACAAAGACTGCGGCTCTGCGGGATTCTCTGGGGGTGGTCGCTCCAGAGAAACTCGGTGGGCCTGTCCGCAGCTTCTCTGGGGTGCAGGGATACTCGGTGGGAATCTCTGCGGGCTTGCCCCAAGGATACTCGGCTTTCTGCGGGATTCTGGGCGGAAAACAGATAAAAACTAACAGACCCGTGACAGATGAATTTCGCAGGGATACATTGACTGTCATTCTCTGAGGCTCCGCGGGATGTGCAAGCAAGGACGTTCTGGGCAAGCATGGGATACCGTGGCGTCTTCAATGACACCTGCCCATGGTCCGTTATGAAACGGAACTTGCTTGCGCATCCCACTACGCCCACCCTGGCCAACTTCCAATCGCTGGAGCTCCCAGGCCTGGAGCTACGAAGGTGTCGAAGTTCATTCGCAGCAATGTGCGCCAGGGCACCTGCAACGAATCCGACGACGTGTTCGCAAATCTGTTTGCGGTGTGTTTGGACTGGCGTTGCGTGCAAGTTGATTGGCTCATGGTTAAGATACCCTGACCCAGGCAATGATGCTGCTGGTGCTGCCATCTTCTGTAATGGCACGGAGGAGACGTGGGGTCACTGGGCGTAGCATGTTTCCTGCTTGTTCTCGCTTTTGTTGTGGAGTTGTTCAAGAGTGGGCATCTTGCTGCTGTTATTGGCGGGGAATCTCGGCGTCCAACTTCATGTATGTATTATAGGTGTGCTTGCGGGTTCGAATTCAATGCGCAAGCAACAAGCATGGTGAGTGCAGGAAACTTGGCACGTTCTTCCCAGGTGACCTGCATGCAGCTCACCCACCTGTGTTCTGCGCGGAAACGCCAAGAACTTGAGAGAGTGTGCGAACACATGTGCCCGAATACTGTTTGTGGTTGGTTGATTTCAGATCATTTTGTTTCACATGCATTTGTTCGTGCTTCTTATTCTGCAAAACTCTCCCGCGAACCTTCATCCTTTTGCCCAGAACCTGTTCAGTTGCAGCTTCAGTTCAATTCTAGCACATTCCTGCGCCACTTGTGCGCTGGATCCTGAGGCCTCCATCAAAATGCCCAAAGATTTCAGGTTGCTCACGGGATCTCGCGGGGGTTTGAAGAAATTGCCCGATACAGGGTTTCAGAAGGCAAGTGCAACTTCACCTAAGCTTGCTGCAAGGAATGGCAACCACGTGCTTGCGGCGTATAGCATGAAGCCAAAAGCCGATTACGACTACCTGGCCATGGCTGCCAACTTCGCGAAGGTGACGTGTGCAATAGTGACGACTTCACCATGTCCCTGCACGCCTTCGTGTATTACATTGACTCGGACAGCGAGCAAATGAAGATCGCCTACCCCACTTTGCTCTTCGACAGCAACATCACCGATGGTCGCAGCAACATGATGGACTTCCTCGCCTTGGCCACGGGCCACACCAGGGTTCGTGGCTTAAAGTGCTGAAAGGCGGCACCTGCGCACGGATGATTGGTAGACAGCTTGGGAAGTGTTGATCTGAGGTATAAGTAATGTCTACCTGCCCCCGTCGTTCCTCCGCCTCTGCGACGGCCCGGCCGCCAATGTGGAGGGCATGTGGCACATCCTTGGCAAGGCCACTACGAATGCAGGCCTCATGGCGGTCAAACCGAAGCAGGGCCTGCGTCCGAGGCCTTTTGCCGAAACCAGCTGGTATGCCTTCTTGGGAGGTGGCTTCATCAAGCGTGACGAGCCCAAGGGCATTCCGATGTTCTGCCAGATGAACGGGTGGATTCCGGAGGTCGTCAAGGCAATGAGAACTTGCATGGGCCACTCCAATGTGATCCTGACCGCCGGTGGTGGATCCTTCCGCCACAAGGATGGCCCCAAGCCAGGTGCCATCTCTTGCCGCCAGAGTGAGGAGGCATGGAAGGCATGGAGGTCCGGCCAGCATGGACCCATCAGCCTCAGCGATGGCGTGATCGAGTTTGCCAAGACGCATGACGAGATGAAGGGCGCCTTCCTGAGCTTTCCAGAACGACGGGGATCAGATCTACCCAGGCTGGAGGGGGAAGCTCGGCTACGCGTTCCAGGCGCTTGTGCCGCAGGAGTTGGCTGCAGCCCGCAAGCAGCGCCCGGGGCGAATGGGTCCGCGGACGCCCGCCCCCCACCAAGAGAGCCGCGTGCGAGAAGGCTGGCTCGACCGGGCAAGACTGGCCCGCGATCGTGAGCGTCTGAACATGCATGACTTCGGCGAAACCAGCCGTTGCTTGACATGCGATCGTGAGCGTCTGAACATGCATGACTTCGGCGAAACCAGCCGTTGCTTGACATGCGATCGTGAGCATATGCACATGCATGACTTCGGCGAAACCAGCCGTTGCTTGACATGCGATCGTGAGCATCTGAACATGCATGACTTCGGCGAAACCAGCCGTTGCTTGACATGCGATCGTGAGCATCTGAAAACGCATGACTTCGGCGAAACCAGCCGTTGCTTGACATGCGATCGTGAGCATCTGAACATGCATGACTACGGCTGAAATTGGGCAGCAAGTTCAGAAGTGGCTTACTCAAAGACAGGAGTGCGCCGTCCAGCGAAGTTATACTTTGTGTTGCACATGCTGTGTCCAGGTTTATAGCACTCGAGCGGGAGCTCGGTTTCAATATAGGATGCCGCAGCCAGTTGTGGATTCATTGTTCAGTTGTATGCCTCACTGCAAGCAACACTGATGCGCCAGCACGTTTTTGCAAGTTGTTCCTGTGACTTGTGGCTCAAGAAGTACCTTCGACTTGCCGGGCTTGGCCTCCAGCTCCGGCGCCCTTCAGGCAGTCTGACGCGCTTGATCCCTCAAAGCCTCGCCTGTGGATTCATGCCGCTTCTATGTTGAAGCTTGAAAGTGTAGGCATCGTCCGCAAAGCATGTGGGTTTCTGCTCGGTGATAAGCTACCCTACAGCACCAGGAACATGTGAAGGCAGGCTTGCCGTTGGCCGCTGGGCGGCATCATGGGTGAAGATAGCTGTAGCTCAATCATATGAAGGTGCTGGGTGTCGAGGTGTGCAGTGCGTACCTGTTTATCCCACGCTGGCACGAGCCTTTGTTCCTGCAGGTCGTGGTGTGTTATCTCTAGAGGCAGACAGCAGAGGCCCCTCAGGCCGCTCAGATGTTTAGTGGATCCGAAATACCTGCAGACTTCAACAAATCAAATTATGCGACTTCTTGTGTTTGTTGACGCAGATAGGCATTGAAAGATGCATGCGCGGATTGAGATTGCAAGAGCTTGGCCTTAACCCGAAAGTCCCAGGTATTTGAAATCCAAGACACTCTTGCCTTGAGATTTCAAGAGCCTGTCCCCCATCCCGGAGCTTATGGAGGGACTTCCCGCGCCTCCCCCTCCCCCCCCCCGCCAAACAGTCCCAAACCCTGAATTGGCAAGCTTGTCTTTATAGAGGGGACTCAGACTAAACACGGTGCGAAGTCATGCTTGCAGGCATACATCATCTCCGCATCAGATGCTTCGAGCTTGTGGAGCGCATGCCTCGGCTTGTCCATTCGCTCCTGACGCCATGCCTTAAGCACCACCCAAGCAAAGGTCACCCGGACAAGCACGAGGGCCAGTGCCACCAATCTTTCATCAATCAGGGTTGCAGATAGGTTGCACCATTATTTCCACGCTGCAGGAAAGGCTTTCGCTTGCGCTAGTCTTACAACTGGCTGTGTTTTTGCAGCGAGCTCCAAATTCTTCGGATGTAGCATGAGGTCGCAGGATCCATTCGCGGAGTGGAATGGAGTGCTCGCTTCACAGGCACAGAAGCAACAGTAGTAGATTGTGCAATGTTGCCGCTGACTCACAAGATGAGATGTCAGTCCCTCAGCGACCACGCGGAGTTCAACATGTGCAGACCTGCCTGAAAGAACAGCATTTGCGCAGAATCTGGCTGCAAGCGCTCTCTAGATCGTTGCCCAAGGGCTCATGACGTTTCAGGAGGATTGACCGTGAAGAAGCCTGTGTTTGCAGACTGCCTCAGACTTAACCCTTACAACATCATGGATTTGGGATGGATTTGAGAGGAGGCGATGGGGGCAAAACACGGCAGTGTGCTAGGCTGATTTTGGGGTTGCGGGGGAGGATGGATAGCGGGGAGGGGGGGCGAGAGGGGGGGAGGGAAAACGGCCCTACGACAGTCCTAGGCTGACCCAGAGCCCAGGCGTTAAACTCAGGCTTTTTAACGTCATCTGGACAGAGTGGGCCATGTGACAATCACTGTGAGCATCTGTGAGAATATCAATTCGGCACATGGGCGTTTCCCAAAATGGGGGTACCCCTTTGGTACCCCAAATATAGTAGAATCCCTATTTGCGGACCCCTCCCCCCCCTCCCCCATATCAGTAGTGTGAGTTTCGAGGATTCAGCCCCACGCTCTGTCGTACAGTGCGGCGTCGATGCGACAGCGGCATGTCTGCCAAAACATGTACCTCGGCAGACATGTCTTCGGGGTCGAGGCAGGCATAGGGATGTTGTAATGTCCCTGTACCAAAACGCGCGGTTTGGAATCCAGACCCTGAATTTCTGAAATCGTCTGGCTCCAGAGCATGCAACAAGCATAGCTTCATCAAGAAGCGTCAGCTTCAGGACTTGCTCATCTCTTGCTGCGAAGCATCGGGCGTCTTGTAAGCAGTCGAAAGTTCATTCAGAGCATGCACGCAAGCAAGCGGCGGATGGGAGCGATTTCCAAGTGTTGAGGTTCCGTGCAAGACTCCGCGTTCTACGGAAAGTCAAGATTTCTTGAATGTCTCTTTCGTCAGGTTCTGATTCCTGGGCAGACCTTGTCCCAACCCTCAATGGATACGAGGCGAGCAGTTTAAAGGGGGCTTCTTTAAGGCAAGCCTTGGCTTTGATGGTGTGAATGAAAATGTGAGGGACGGTGAAGATGCGGGGCTCTTCAGGACGGATGCAACACGAGTTTTTGTACTGAAATTTGCTGTGCCTGTGCTTGATGCGCTGCCCAAGAGTGCTTCCATTAGCTCAATGCCTTTCATAGAGCAGTGTGCTTGTCAGGATGTCGGGAAGGAGGGAGCCTACAACCACAGCAGTCAGTGCATGATGAATGCGTCAGACACCCCAATAGAACCGAAATAGAGAGGGCGCGCGCAAACAAAATCTCACTCTCAATCCCGTCGCTCCTCTCACCCACGTGCGGTCGAATCCCACAAGATCAACCTCGTACACACTCACGCTCTAAGCTTCAGGTCGGGCGTGTTCTGAATGCAGAGAAAAGATCCTAATTAGCCAGCCCCATTGTGCGGTTGTGTACACAAGTTTTCAACGATCCCACTTTCTCAGTCCATCCGATTTCATTTGTGCAGATGTGGCTTTGGCTCATGTCGCTTTCCGGTGGATTGATGACGTCGCATGTGTTTTTTTTCTCGCCTTTGAATCCTTTGAATGCGTGTCTGGACTGATGTCTACCCTGCTTGGCTCTGAGCTTCGGACATCGTCCAGGTCGCGGTGTTCGTGGCTGACGTGCCCTCATTTCCCCGAGGGCCAACATGTCAGAGATCTTCAGTTTGAGATTATTCGAGCGCTGGAGGGGCAGGGCAATTTGTGGCATGCTGGCTTACAGACAATCTGCTCAGATCAGATCAGGCAGGTTACACAACCACGCGGCCTAAACTTGAACACTTGAACCCAGACACCTCAAAGCTCAGCGCCTTGCGGCTCAGGCAGTCCTCGTCCATCATCGCCGCATAGAAGTGCGTTCCTCTCACACGTGATGCGCTGGGGACTTTGACACCAGAGTGGCTGATTGGCTGCTGTTGGACTTGTCCTTCCAGCGAAGGTCACCACGAGATGGTTCAAGCAAAGCCTTGTTAATACTGGAAAAACATTTCATGCTTGTGGACGTCATGACGTTTTCTGTGTTGGATGGGAATTTTTTCTCGTTTATTGTCATCGTGTGCTTGCTGTCCCTCAGGCCTCGTGCTTGTGCATGCCGTTGCTTGTCCAGTAGTGTGGCCCTTTGCACTCAGCACCTTCATGGCAGCGTTTTGCTTGTACAGCGTCTTGAGACTTGACTGGTTCTTACTGTAGCCGTCTCTGCAGCTTCATGGGCGCAATGTTTTTCATTTCAGGGCGATGTGTGTAGTGCGTGCCTTATACAAGTGACTTAACTGCAAAATTAATGGTCAATGCTGAGGCGTCGCATTTGTGGAATATTTTCGCTGTGACCCTTCAGCACCACATTCAAAACAACCCAACAGCCCAATCTAACCGCGACATGACGCTTGTTTTCAAAACTTTTCTAGAATGCAGGTGTGGCGGGAAACCGCCGCCTAACCATCCAAAGAGACAAAGCAAGCACACACGAACGCAGGCCTCAGGCCTCACGAGTCGAATCCGCGTCGCGCTTGCGAAACATCGCGCTGCTGCACAAGGACGTTCAAAGGACCTCTCAGGGGAGCAAAGGAACGAGACGCTGATCAGTCATGTTCATGTGTTCATGTTTTGGGGACGTGGACGGACTTGTTGGAAGCCAAAGGACCCGGGTTTCGAGCAGGATGAGTCGAAAGGAGGCAAAGGGCAGAGTGTCACACCAGGCTGTCATGGTTTTTAAGGTGTGAAATCACAATGTGTCGCAGACAAAATCACCTGTTCAGCCCCCTTTCGTGCTTGTAGCTGCTTGCGGTTCGAATTGTGCCTTAGCGCCTTAGCCGACTTGCGCCAATCAATATTTGCCGGGATTTGCCGGGATGGCCATTTTCTTGCATCGTCTGCTTGAAGCCTCCTTATGCATGGCCACGGTGCTCGTCTGGCTGACGCCGCTTCCTGCGAGCAAGCCGGTGACGCTGCACTTTGATCATTGGCCCCTTGCGGAGGACTTCTTGAGCTCAGAACCTCCAGCGGGAACACTTGTCCACATCATGGAGGAAGATGAGGCCGAACTTGTATGGCGTAGAGCTGCCGATGTACTTCGCCGTGTTTCACCCGCAGAATACCGGTGCTGGGTCGGCCTGGAGCTCAACTGCGAACATCATCTTACACAGGTCCGTCTACGAGGCGCTAGCAGTCGGACACATGTTACTGTATATGAGCATCGTGGGCATGCTCGTGGGCATGCCACACGTATTCAGCTCTTGGCACGTTTAGAAGGAACGTGCAGCGGGCAGCGGCTTTCGCGCAACTCTGCAAGCGAGTAACATCATTAGCCGACACTTGGACCGCAGATTTTGTTTAGGCGCTTTCGCAAAGTTGATTTAGCGCGGAAATATTTTTGGGAGCGGCGCTCCACAATCAGCTCCGCGCTGCGCGTGCGGAAGGGTTCGTGAAAGCAAAGTCTCGCGGAAGCTAGGAACTCTTGAACGTCCTCAGCTTTTAAACCTGTTGTTTGGAAGCCTACCCTGCACTTTACCTGGGATTTCATATTTCAATGCCCAACTACTGTAGACGCGAAACGCAAACTGCAAGCCGAAGCTCCCAATCACAGACTTCTCAGAGCCCGCAGCACCTGCCCACTGAGAATTGGTGCAGCCGAGTCGATCAAGGATCTCGGCCATTGTAAGCTCTACGCAATGCCTCGGGCACGTGGCTAGCAGCGACATTCTCCAGTAGTGCCGCCCCCGCATATTCCATCATCCACCCTCTCCGGACCCACCAGTAACCCCGCTGCGCACACCAACTGAAACAAGCAGACTGCAATGGCCATCAAAACAGCAATAGATTCAAACATACAGCATACACCTTGCCCCCATCGCGAAACCCTCGCATGGCTATTTGGCCACCGAGGGGCCGAGGAATGTTTCTTAGGACCCTGACAATCTTGCACATGCACTTGAAGCTTGGGTGTACCTTTTTGAGAAAGCCCTCGCATGGCCTTCTTTTGGCCACCGAGGGGTGAGGACAGCGCGAATCGAGGAACTTTCCCAGCAAGAAACACCTTCGCATGGCTGTTTTTGGCCACCGAGGGGCAGTCTGGCTTTCTGGATGCTGGCAAGGATGGGAATTCAACTAGCAACCATGAAAACTCAAGCACTGCATTGGGGCCTTATATCTCCATACTCTACCTCGAGTGTTGTTGGGCTTCGGGCAGTGCGTCCCTTTGGCAGGAACGCACGAAGAAGGCCAAAGTCGGCTCCAAGCAAGAAGAGCCAGTATGCGATTGTGATTCTGATCGCAAGCTTCGCCCGATCACCCGATTCAACTCCAGAGGAGGCTCCGGTCCTGCTAAGCAGAGGAGAAGAGCCAGAATGAGATTAAGATTCTTAAAACTTCGCCCGATCACTCCGGTCCTGCTAAGCAGACGAGAAGAGCCACTATAAGATTCAGACTCTTAACACAAGCTTCGCCCGATCACCCACTTCAATTCCAGAGGAGGCTCCGGTCCTGCTAAACAGACGAGAAGAACTTTGCAATCTCGCATTTTCTGCACTACACGACAATTCCCTGACGACATTGCGTCGGTCAACATCTGCCAGCGGCAGCTGATGGCCGTTGCAATCTCGCATTCTCTGCGCTGCGACAACTCCCTAACGACATTGCATCGGCCAACACCTGCCTGCGGCAGCTGACGACTTTTGCAATCTCGCATTCTCTGCGCTATACGACAATTCTCTGATGATCTTGCGTCGGCCAAAATCTGCCTGCTGCAGCTGAGGACTTTAGAAAATCTCACATTCTCTGCGCTGTACGACAATTCTCTGATGATCTTGCGTCGGCCAAAATCTGCCTGCGGCAGCTGAGAGCTTTAGAAAATCTCGCATTCTCTGCGCTGTACGACAATTCGATATTGCGTCGGCCAACATCTGCCTGCGGCAGCTGACGGCCTTTGCGACCTCGCGTTCTCTACGCTACGATAATCCTCTAACGACGTTGCGTCACCCAATATCTGCCTGCGGCAGTTGATGGCCTTTGCAATCTCGCGTTCTCTGCACTACGACAACTCCCTAACGACATTGCGTCGGCCAACATCTGCCGGCGGCAGCTGATGGCTTTGGCTCGTGCTCCCGATTCAATTCCAGAGGAGGCTCCGGTCCTGCTAAGCAGACGAAAGAGCCACTATAAGATTAAGATTCTTAAAGCTTCGCCCGATCACCCGATTAAATTCCAGAAGAGGCTCCGGTCCTGCTAAGCAGACGAGAAGAGCCACTATAAGATTAGAACTTTTAACACAAGCTTCGCCCGATCACCCAATTCGAATCCAGGGGAATCGGCTAAGCAGACGAGAAGAGCCACTATAAGATTAAGACTCTTAACACAAGCTTCGCTCGATCACCCAATTCAATTCCAGAGGAGGCTCCGGTCCTTGCTACGCAGACGAGAAGAGCCAGCATATGATTAAGTTTCTGATCGTATTGAATTGGGTGATCGGGCGAAGCTTGTGTTAAGAGTCTTAATCTTACAGTGGTTCTTCTCGTCTGCTTAGCAGGACCGTTCCCCTGGAATTGAATTGGGTGATCGGGCGAAGCTTGTTTTAAGAATGTTAATCTTATAGTGGCTCTTCTCGTCTGCTCGGCAGGATCTGCGAAATACAACTTCACATGTGCCCTGGTATGAGGAGGTTGCGAGGTTGCAGACAAGGGCCGAGAAAGATCAGGCTGCCATACCGGAAGGCGTGTTCAAGCTAAGCCATGCCTTAAAATTTCCAGCGCGTGTGAAAGTCTCTATTCTTTAGGCTAGCAGCGCATTCTCCAGTACGGCCGCCTTTCTACGACAGCCTGCATGATCTTCCTCGTGCAGCCTTTCAACGATTTTTGAGGTTTCTAAGCAATGCCTCATACCGGGGGCATGTGAAATTCTTCAAACACTATAGCAGCATGACCTTCCTTTGCCTTTGTCTGCAACCTCACAACGAGCTTTGGAGCCTCCGCCCGACAGGTGGGGTTGATCGATTTCAAGGACACATTGGGGTGCATCATGTGACGACCTGCTCAGGACAGCAGGCGCTAGAGCTTCCAGGCCCCAGGTAGCACAACATTCAGCAGCACACGCAATTTTAAGCGGCCTGAGAAGGCCCGTGCAGCCACGGCGTCTGGTGTGCAAGAGTATGGCCGCTGTTGTTGACAGAACCTGTCCTTTTTTTTTTTTGCGCGGGTGCAGGCGCTCTCCACACGGACCAGCGCAATAAACCAGCAAGTCTTCCGATGCCCTGCACTACAAGTCTTTGCCGTGAGTCTCGGAGGCTGCTGTGGGAGATGGGGCTCGTGATCAGCGTGGCTTTGATCGTGACACTGCTTGTCAAGACATCACGTGCTGGCATCAACCTCCACATGGCCACACCGGAAATTCCACTAGCTGGCGAAGATCTCATGATCAAGATCGATGGCCTCGAGAAAGAGATCGACGGGCTCGAGAAAGAGTCCGAGGAGATGCAGCACACTTTTTTGGCAATTGAACGCACCTTCCTAGCCTCCCTCATCGCTGGCAATGATGCCACGGCAACTGACTGCGACAATGTCCTCTCAGACAGCTCCGGTTCTGATGGTGACATGCCTGATTCACTGGCAGATTTGATGTTGGAGCCACAGCTGCCTGCCAGCGTGAATGGTGTGCGCCTGATGCGCACTTGGGGTGCTGAGCGCAGCCTTCTCATCCGAGCTTTCCTTGTAATGATCCATCCCGGGGGCTTCGGCGGTCAGCAGGCACGGGGCAGCAGGGAAAGTATCTGTCGCGCCCTGGGCCTCACTGCGACGAACTTCCGAAGCTTTGTCGCCACGTGGGAGGACGCTGGCTTCATGAAGGGTGCCGCGGTGGTGGCCTTGGCAGAGGGAGAGGGTGGCATCACGGCCCTTCTCAACTACATCGTCTCGCATGAGCCCGGAGGAGGGTGGCAGATGCTGGCGTTCGTGTGCGGCTGGGCAAGGGCCATTGGCGTGACGAGGCTGTTCAGCGCAGCGGACCTGACAATGCCCGGCGCCCTGCGTTGGCATGAGCGCCAGGGCTTCAACAGGGTATCTAAGACGGTGTGGGAGAAAGCCGGGCATCACTTGTACAGTGATGCCAGCCGTGTAAAATACATGAGCCTGGACCTTGCATAAATCGGCTGAAAACACTCCTTGACATTTTGGGACGCAGCATGACCGGCCCCTGACCTGCAATGCTGCTTTCAGCTCCTTTGCTTTGGAGGATCTCGGGAAGCGGAGGGACTTCGGAAATCTCAAGACGTCGAGACCCTGTGTGGAACTCCAGCTTCTATCATGCTTCCACAAGAGTGCCGAGATACTGTTCAAAGACAGATTGCCTTCTGAGGCTTCTGAGGTGACGTCGCTATCCACGTGAGCAAGTTGCACGCCTGCTTTCATGCTGCCGTGTCAGGAAGACATGGAGCATCATGGAGCTCTTCAGGACAGAGGCAATACAAGGATTCGCAAATTTGCTGCTTTGGCGCTGCCCAAGACCGCTTCCGCTTGCTCATTGCACCTTCATAGAGCGGTGTGCGTGTCAGGATGTCAGGAGTCTGTGCATGATGAATGCGTGAGACACAATCATGGAGAGGCACACGCAAACAAAAACTCACTTTCAATCCTGTCGCACTCTAGCTTCAGGTCTGGCAAATTCCAGTCGCGACACAGAGAATAGCTCTTAATTAATCAGCCTGGTCGTGCACACAAGCTTCGCAGTCCACCCGATTTCATGTATACAGTGCAAGCCCCAACGTGTGCGAACTCATAGCGCGGGTGAGGCTGTGCATAAAAATGGCAACATGAGTGCCGCAGAAATTTGTCGTTTTTTGTTCCCGACCTACCCGACCGCCCCCGCCCATACCACCCCAGCCACCCCTAGCAGGAGGGATGCCTCCCGAGGTGCACACGCAGACGTGCACTTAGATATGTTTCAAGGAACAAGTCGGCACGAGACAAAGTGGGCTGTTAGACGTTGAAACATCAGCAAATTCCATGCGACGTCGAATAGCCCGCAGACTGCAGCTCGAGCTCCTGCTCACTGCTACATTGCCGACACCACACAGGACCATACTTGCGCACCAGTATAAGTGTAAACGTTTATTGCCTTGCACCGCTTCAGGTTCGCAAAGCGAGCGCACAGCCATACATCGGTCATGCCATGTGCGTCCACAACGTTTCACGCGGGAAAGATGCCAAAATGGGAGAGTCTGACAGCATCACACCAGAAGCTTGAGCAAGAGAACGTCGTTTGTGGCAGCTTCCCTTAGCCTGTCGCGCATCACACATGCTTAAGTTTTTCAGATCGATGTGATGAGCAGCCTGCGAGACATATGGTAGGCACACGAAGTCACCCAGTTTTTCAGGTTTCCTTACCTTCGAGCCGGCTTCATATGCACAGGACTAACAGTACAAACTTCATGTGTTTGGAGTCTGCAGGTTGCGTGTGAGCAGAGGCTTTGATACCTTCGAAGCGGTTCCAGACGATCTGACCTGTTTTATGCCGCGCATTTCGCATAAGCAGACAAGTCCAAATTATGCCAAGAGATGCCGTGAACATGTGCAAAGCTTGACACAATAGGAGTTGCAAGTCAGTGAACGCATTACACTAGCTATACATGAACGGCCGGAATCCATGCGGAGTTGAGCGCTGTGTTTCAACTTCAATTTGCAGGCAGAATGGCATGTTTTTTTAAAGATTCAGCAGGGGGAGGCGGCCTTTTACCTTCCTGGATGCCATTCTTCATGGTCGACGCATGCATTCCTTTACGCAGTTTCCGCAGACATTTTCACTGAGACCCATGGGAACACGTGCTGTGAAAACCAGCCGTGTGCAATTGCCGTGTCATCGCAAACGACCACGGATACTTGGAGCATTGTATGCAGACTTAGACTGCCGCTTAGGCCCATCCCGTCCCATGGTGTGAAAATCCTTCCTATTCCTGTTCCGGAAAAAGCAAGCACTGGGCAGGTCTGACAGCTTTCGGCTGTGCCCATCGTCAATTGGAAACATGAGTACCTGTTTGCAGGCAAGGCGGGCCTGCAGAATGGAGATGCCGGCGACGTGCGTCGGGCTGCGCAAGTGAGTTGCGCTTCAAGAAAAAATATTTCTTTGCTTGCTTCCAGTCCTGAGGCCGAAATCCGACCCGGCAAGCACATGCGCACCAGACTCACCAGAGGCGCATGCCCAGTCAAATGGTTTCGGAAGCTTCCAGTGGCCACCATTCTCAGTTGCTGCACCTTTGCTCTGTGAACACGTGGACAGGGCTGGCCGGTGTCTCATGATGAGGTGGCCGACTGTGCCCAAAGAGCGTCGCCAGGGCCCGATTCTCCAAATAACCCGCAAATCATACCTGCTGATTTCCAGAGTGGAGAGCGCCTCACGCAAGATGCTGGTGTCTGGGCTGCGTCACCTTGCAGCGCATTGCGCCCGAGTCGTTGAGGCGGGCCCAGCGATGACGTGAGTCAAGTGTTTGGAGGCCCCCAAAAATTCTGTGGCAGCCATGTCCCTCGTATCCGCAGCATGCCTTAGCCTGAAGATGAAGATTTCCATCGCAAGAAGACAGTGGAGTTTCAACCCTTTCAGGGAAACGTCGCAATGTCTCCATCGCAGGCTGGTGAAGACGAGGCAGGGCACACAAGACTTCAAAACATGTCTGTGTGCAAGTTGGAATGTCCGCACAGTGCTCGCGGTGACGTGGCAGCTGCGAGCTTTCTGTATCGGCTTTGTGGGCACATGATATGGTGACTCCCAAATCGTCCCCAAGAAGGTACCCCCTTCGTAAACCCCCCCGAAAGGAGCAAACTTAGGCAAAGGACCACTGGTTGGAGGCTGGGGCCGGGCTCTCGCGGCAAGGTTTGCTGAACTCATTTTGGGTGTAGGGTTTCGGGTTGAGGGTCTAGGATTCCGAAAATAGGGCGATGGAGGGGCCACGCGAACTTCTGGGCAGCGCGGCTCTCGAGTGGTTCGGCCTGGAACATTGGTAGCACCAAGAACACCCCCAAAAGAAAGCCCATGACCTTGAGCCACATGGGAGTGAATCGATCAAGTCCGTGTTGAAGGCGAGCTTCAGCCTCGAGGAGATGGCACAGGTTCGTGTTGGCCAATGCCTCGAAGTCAGGAGGTTCCACGTGCAAGAGGAGGGGACAGAATCAAGCAAAGCCTTGTGCATGCTTCTGCGGCGCTTGGCATTACCTCTTATCTCTGCCATTGAGGCTGATAGTGGTGGCTTTGCATCTCAGGCACCAATGCACACGTCACGGGGTTTGTCCGAAACTTATCGGCCGCGTGATCTCGGCTGACCTGCCCCCTTCGCAGCTTTTTGAGTTCTTGCTGATGGGCAGGATGGTAGCTGGACAAATGAAGACTGAAACGAAGAAGCCTCTCCAGGCCCAGCACTTTCAGTTTTTCTCACATATTTCTGTGGAAGCATCTTCTGCCAAATCCCGGCCATGAGGACTTCGTTGCCTTTGTGCTTTTGCTTGTTTTGCAGGTGTCAAAAAGGGAAAGAGCTTCAATGCTCACATGAACAAGACCTGGACTAGTGGCATGGCTTGATGCGATGTTCATTGCAACTCCAAAAACCAGGCGGCCACGATGGTAGGTAAAACTCCCACGGCGACGGTACGTGCACGGTCATGGCCACAACAGCAAGTACTCTTCCAAGAGCCAGGCCACCACACGCGGTACACATGCAAGAACAATCGCGGCACTCGCTGGTGCTCTCTTTTGAACATGTCAGTTCGCGCAACCCTGGGGTCAAGGGTGCCTTGATGACATTCCCAGCCATGATTTTGTCGGAATGAGTCGGTGTGCACCTTGCTGTTCTCCAAGCCTTACCAAGTCAACCTTGGTTTAGGGTTTAACGTTTGAAGTTGAGAAGGGTTGCCGGGTTAAGCGGGCCACACACGCGCAAAGTGCCTAAAGATCGAAGTCTACGTAGGATGTGCTGGGGCCAGGGAGCGCGGAGAATCCAGAAGTGTTGGGGGCGGCGCCTGCGGATGCCTCCTCCAGCCAGCCCCAAACCTCAAAAGCATTGAACCCGAAAACGTTTTGAGGCGGGAAAAAGAAACCTCAAATGGACTCAAGCCGCAACCCCCCTGAGCCCCAGCCTCACAGAGAGTAGCCTATCGGCTCGCCCCCCTGACCCAACTGAAACCAAACATTACTTTTCTCTGGTGGAGTGAATTCTGTCAGGCATTACGCGGCAAGGCTTGCGACAATGCCCAAATAAAGCAGCTAGAAAGCCTAAATTCTGCACTCCTCTCTGCTCGGAAGCCCCCGAAACCTCCCCTCAAAACCTGACCGCGGCTCAGGGCTCAGGGTCCAGGGTTTAGGGTTTCGGGCTGCTGGCATACGAGCCTCGCTGCAGAAGGGTTTAGCGCTGCAGCCTCCACCGCTATTCGCACAGTTGCCACTTCAATTGGTGATGTGACCGTAGGCCACCGCGGCGCAACCCAACTTACCTCAAGCAGGACCAGGCACGGAGTACCCGGAGTGGCCGGAAGTGTAAGCTGCGATGCGGGCATCAGTCGGCTGGGGTCATGGCAGTCCCGACTGTAAGGTTTTGCAGGCAAAGGCCGCCCCTCAGCGACAAAGTCGTGGTGAGTTCTTCGCAGGCAGATGTATGAGGCTCAAATCCGACTGCCGAAGTTTGTCACGCCCAGCCAAACGGCAGGATAGGTGCATGACTGCCAACAGTGCAATCTTTGAGTGTAGTCCCCACAGCGTTCAAAAGTCGGTGCAAATGCGGGCATACGACATGTTGACCTGGAGAACCAGCGTTGCATGGCTCTGATGCTCCTTGTGGTACTTCGTCTGTTCTGAAGCCGCTACTGTCAAGCCTTTGGCCCCCAAGCATCTCCGACTTCTGGCCCCCAACAGTTCTGCAGCACAAATGAACGCAGCAGCGCCGGAGCCCGGCGCTTATCTTGCGCACCATGCCACTGATGTGTACGCAGGCGCGCATTGTTGTCATTGGTTCTATCACGGCCCCCCCCTTAAAAATCTGGGAATGAGTGGGGGGTTACCCCCACTGCCACCTATTTCCGGGCTTCCCGGCCGCTTATTTTGCTACAGTGGGGGGGGGTTAAAAAAATAAGCGGGGAATGATCGTTTAACTTAAGTTATGGGGCTGCCTGTCATGTTAAACAAACAGCATGGGATGTAGAGCTCAACTCATGGGTCCCACAGACAGACAGAAAATGCCAGAAACAGGCGGCGAGGGCGGGGGTTTGGGGTGGGTCATAAAGGGCAGGGCCTCTTGCGCGCTACAGTCTCGAGGGCGAGGGGGTTTTGGGGCGGATAGGCACGGCCCACATGTGACAGCTTCTCCCTTTTGTCTGTTCCAGAACCTGCTGCAACACGATGGCGGGTGAAACTCATTGAGGTCTTGCGAATTTCACCGGCCGCCGTGTTGTAGGTTCAGGAACAGACACAAAAAGGACAAACTCTCACACGTGGGCTGTGCCTAGCCACGTTGGGCGAGCAACGCTCCCGAGGCCACACTTCACAAACTCAACTTGGCCATGAAACGTACACTCAGGATCGAGGTTTCAAATCAGACACGCAGCAGACACAGACGCCGGCGAAGACAGCTCGCGCTAAAATGGTTTCTTTCCGAGTGCCTTTCTGAGAGAACATGCCTTGCTACAGTCCCCCTCCCCCCCCCAAACCTTAAAAAAACGAAATACACGGGCCACCTATTTCCGGACCACCCCCCTCCCCCCACCCCCATAAGGGGGGGGCACTGTTCTATCATTAGAGAACCTTGGCAAGATGATTTTTGCAATCGCCATTGCTACTAGTATTTACTTGTATCGTTATTCTTATAGTGATTGGCCTATAGTGGCAGGGGCCGACCCTGCCAAGGAAGGGAGGCAAGGACAAGAGCCCAACAGCCAGCCCCATTCTTTCAATCCCCTTGCGCACGGGTGTGTTAAATGCTAGAAGCACACGTCAGAAACCCTTTGACCACCTCGTAAACCCAGAGAATTGCCATAGAACCGCCGAATGCAATTTCAAAAGCCCCCATAGTAAACCATCGAGAAACCATGAACAACAAGCAGCATGAAGCCCATCTCACATCATCATGGAACCCGATAAAAACCCGTGAAAACCGCCATGAAGAGAGGATCCGGGAGTCGCTGTTGTAAATCCACCAGGAAGCACGTAAAACCCCTCACAAGCCTCGCGTGCCATGCTGGGGCTCAGCATTGAGGCCTCACCAATGATGCTGATGCTGTTGATCACAGCATCATTGGGGGGCCTCCATTTCCTTGAGGTGAGGTTCCAAGCCCCCGATGATGCTCAAATTTGCTTTGAACAAGCCCTCGGCGCGCAGGGGGGGGGGGGGGAAGCTTCGAAAACTCGGCGTTGAAGGGGCCTTGATTGAGGGAGGTTTGGAGGCTCTGATGATGTTCCTGCTTGCGTCGTTTGCGGTCATCCGCGCATCTTGGGGGCCGTTTAGATGCTTATTATTGTGATCATCATCCTTATTGTCACCTGTGGCGTTGATGTTGTTGCATGCATTTTGCAGTTTTGCAGTTGCAGCTGAGAGGTTTGTCCCGGGCACATGGTGGCAGTCCTGCCCCGGGGACGGCTGAGGGCGGATCCATGAACGACACGTGCCTTTGTTGCGAATCCTTGCGCAGGATGCGACGAGGAAAGCTGTGCAGATCCTCGCTGCGTCAGGCCGTGTAATGAATCAGCTCTCACAAGGTTTGCTGGCTTTCAAGGACAAAGCTGATCAGGTCTACCAATTCGGGACCAGATTGCCAAGTTTGGTGTTGTGCACAAGCGACCTGGCAGGATGGAACAGTAGACTTCCGTTGATGCGGCTGTGGATGTGTTGTTGTTGTGCTTGTTGTTGTGCTCATGATGTAGTCCGGCTGCATCGACAGGGTGCGGTCACAAACCTGAGTTCTGTCAGCTGCATTAAGTCGACAACAACAGCTGCGTGGCATGTCAGAGCGGGGCTGTTAGGACTCTGGCATGTGCTTCGGGTTTGAGCGACTGGAGGTGCTTGCTTCAAGCTCGGCGAAACCTTCGGCGAAACCTTCGGAGCATGACAGCAAAGTATCTGGATGTGCCTGTCGCTCCCAAGAAGGCACGTCCTGCGCGGTCCTCAAGCCCTCCGCCGCAGTGCATGGTGCTTGTGGGCAAGCTCGTGGGCTAGGTCGCGTTGCTCCCTGTTGTGTTCAAGACGGGCTCTTGCAGCGTGAGATGGATATGCCACTGCCAAGTCAGACCGGAGCCTCTCGTCGAGAATTAAAGGCGGTGGCAT